AAGGATTAAGTCTCCATGAAGCATTAAACATAAAGTATTTTAAATCAGAATACCTCTGTATGTAGGGTGAGCATGTCTAGAGATCTGTACAGCATGCACCCTGCTGGTGATCAGATCATTCTTTGTTTGGGATTCATGTTAAATGAATAAATTTTAGTGGTTCTTGTGATGGAGACAAAAGGATGATCATGTGAGCTGAGGGATGTGTTTATTTGCTTCGGGGTAGTGAACTTTTTATTTTTTATTACCTATATGTCTTCCATAACATAGTGTATAACTTAAGTATACGCAATAACATTTATTTTAAAAAAACAACCTCTTGCCTCAGAGTGCTCTGACGTGGTTTCTGTATGAGCAGCTATCAGGCACTCTCTTCCTCTCTGTAGGGCCTGTGCCAGCTCCAGTATCCGTCCCATGTCATTTGCTCAGATCCTGTTTTGTAATATGCTTGTATTTTTAAAAGTTATTTCAAAGTATATTGCAAAACTTCTCAACATGGCGGCGGAGTGGGGGGCAGAAAAAAAAAATGAGTGCCTGGCAATCTTCTGTAACTTTGGCACTGACATTGAGTAAGGTGGTTATACGTTCTGGTTGGTGGTGGACAGACCCAGTGCATGCTGGTAGGGTGATGTAATTGTTAATGATACCCACCTTTAATTTCAGAAATGTCTCCCTGTGGATGATAAATCATGCAGTCACTTTCCCCAGGAGTGAGTCAAACACATTTGGTGCTTCAGTAGTTAAATGTTTATTTTAAGGAATTTAAGACATACCTCTTCATTCATTATTTCCTTTTTTAGTATACAGTGTTATTTGTTGTTCTAGTTTGAGAAAAACAAATCAAGCGAAGGACAGCTTGGTGTGGGTGGGTCTGCCCTGCAGCACTAAGGTTTCAAGAGAAGCTGAAATTGGCTCACATGGCCCTGGGGCAGTTTTTCTGCTATGGCACAACCCTGTCCAGCCAAGCCTGTAAATAGCCTGCTGAGCCCATTAGGGAGACAGCTCTTACATGGGCTACTTCAATTCCCTCTTGAGAACAGGAACTGGGAATTACACCAAAAGTAGAGCAACAAAATGTGGAGCAGAAGCTGCGAGTCACAGGGCCCAAACAGGAGGGGACATGAGTGGCCACAGGGGGACTGAAGGACTGGGCTGTGTGTGTGAGAGAGAGAGAAAGAAAGAGAGAGGGAGAGAGGGAGGATGTTATTGAGGAAGAAGGTGGGACGGAGCCACTGTCCCCAAGGCACTTCAGCACCACGGTCACCTTCAGAGCGTGCCTGGAGACGGTTGACACACCTGCGTCTCATTCAGTAATGGGGACCTGGCCAGGGCAGGGTGCGGCCAGCTCTAGACCTCTGGTAAGTTCCACAGCCCTTCTGGGTGCCATTGTTCACATCTGTGGACTGGGCATTCATCCCATGGGGGCTTTCGCCATTACAGAGGGTAAGCCTGATCAGTCTGGGCCCAACCTAGGCACCGAGCAAGTCACCTCACAGTGACAGTGCCTCAGGTACCACTTGTTCTCCTTTTACTTGTTACTCACCAGTATAAATAATAAGTTACACAGTCCCTTACTTCTTCCCAAGAACACATGAGAAGCTATATTTGTATTCTACAGTTTTACTTCTAAGAATTTTTGTTTTGTTTCGGTACTGGAGATCAAATTTGGGTCCTTGAACTTGCAAGGCAGATGGCAGAACCACTGAGCTAAATCCCTGGCCCTCTAAGAATTTTCCTTTGGAGATAATTAAAGGGATGTGCCCAAATGGGTGCGCATGGGTATTGAGATTAGCAGAAAAATGGAAACCATGTGAAAGTCTTAGAGGGTTGTCTATATTACATTAGTCTGTATTACCTTAGACTCTGAATATAAAAAGTGTGATAGATGTCCATTTATAAGTGTGGAAAAAATGTTTGTTACAAAGAAAAAGGTGATTATAAAACAGCATGCAGAATATCCAATTTTGTGTATGTATTATGTCATAAATGTATTTTTCCTGTGTGAGAAATTTTATGTGTGCGCCTGTGTGTGTGTGTGTCTGTGTGTGTGTGTGTGTGTGTGTGTGTGTGTCTTTGTATATAAAATAGGCAATAAAAATCTGGAAAATAAAGTGTCATCAGTGTTTATTACTAGAGGACAGGGTTAAAGTATTTTTTATCTTTATTACTGTTTTCTACTTTTTTGGGGGGAGTACCACATGTAGAAATCAGGACATTGCACTTGCAAGGCAGGCATTGTGCCGCTGAGCTTAAATCCTTGGTCCTATTTTCTAATTTTTAACCATAAGTTTTTACTTATCAATATAATAAAATTATGCAGAAAGAACATTATGATTGCAACACATTAGCAATTAGATAAGAGATTCTACCCAAAGAGACTTACAGATTGAAAATAGTCACCATCAAAATCCAGTAGCTAGTCTGCTCCTCGGGATCATTACAGTTGGCCAGGCATGGTGGTGCATGCCTGTAGTCCCAGCACTCAGCAGGCTGAGATAGGAAGATTGCTGAGTTCCCGGCCAGCCTGGGCTACATAGGGAATTCAACCAAGGCCAGCCTGAACTACACAGCAAGACCTTGTCTCACGAATGAAAAAAAGAGATCATTTCAGTTAAGAGCAACTTGGCTTACTGTAGTCAGATTAAGCAATCAACACATAAACCCCAGGCAAGCAATTTATTTGACTTGTTCTTAGAAAGTACTGTAATTTAATCTGATTCTAGATCACTGTTACTTCTTCCAAGGATGTATTCATTTTAAATGAACATGGACTGAAAAAATGGCTTTCTTGTCAGAGATTAAAAAATAACTAAAATTCATATGGAACCACAAAAGATCCCTTAATCATCAGAGTATTCTGTGCAAAAAGAATAAATCTGAAAATGTCGCAACATCTAACTTTAAGACCTACGACAAAGAGATAGTAGTGAAAACAGCATGGTATTGGCATGAAAACTGACATAAAGGCTAATGGAACAGAATAGAGAAGCCAGAAATCACACGTCTACAAGCAGCTGCTTCTGACAAAGGCACCAAAAATAAGTTGGAGAAAGACCAATCTCTTCAATAAATAGCTTTAGGAAAACCAGATATCCATATGCAAAAGGATGGAACTTGATGCCATATCTCACCATATAAAAAAATCAATCCAAAATGGAACAGTGGCTGGGTATAGTGGCGCATGCCTGTAATCCCAGCACTCAGGAGGCTGAGGCAGGAGGGTCGCTATGAGTTCGAGACCAGCCTGGGCTACAGAGTGAGTTCCAGGTCAGTCTCAACTACATAGTGAGACCCTGTCTCAAAAAACCAAAACAAAAAACAAAACGCATCAAAGATTGAATGTAAGACCTGAAACTGCTAGAAAAAAAACATAGGGGAGGGCCAGGATTGTAGCTCAGTGGCACCATACCTTCCTGGCAAGCACGAAGTTCTGAGTTCAATCCCCAGTACTGGAAAAAAAACCAAAAGGAGGGGGGAGGAAACATTAATGAAACATTGTTATAGGTAATTTTTTGGATAAGACCCTAAAAGCACAGGTACTAAAGGCAAAAATAGACAAATGGGATGACATACTAAAAAGCTTTTCTGCACAGTAAAGGAAACAACAGAGTGAAGAGACAACTTACTGAGTAAGAGAAAATATTTGTGAACTCTTCAGGAACTAATATCCAGAGTATATAAGGAATTCAGAAAACTCAGCAACAAAAATAAAACCTAAATAATCCAATTTAAAAATGAGCAAGTATCGATCCCCGGTACCCCCCCAAATGAGCAAGTGATCAAAATAGACATTTCTCAAAAGAAGATGTGTAAACAGCTAACTAAATTAAAAATACTCAACATCACTAATCATAAGGACAATGCAAATAAACAGTAAAATAATCATCTCAACCCAGTTAGAATGGCTATTATCAAAAGACAAAAATACCAAATTCTGTCAAGAATGTGGAGAAAGAAGCCAATACAGCCTTGATGGGAAAGTAAATTAGTGCAGCATTATGGAAAAGTATATGGAGATTCCTTAAAAACTAAAAATAGAGCTGCCATACAAGCTAGCTGTTCCTACCTCTGGGTATGTATCCCAGGGAGATGAAAGCAGTGTACCAAATAGACACCCAAAGTGGGGCATATATCGCAGCACTGTTCATAACAGCCAAGCTATGTAATCAACGGAGGTGTTTACCAACAGAGAACGGCTCCAGCAAATAGGGTATAGTTACACAATAGAACATGACTTAGCCATAAGAACAGTGAAATCCTGTCATTCATGGCAACATGCATGAAACGGGAGGGCATTATGTTAGTCGAAGAAGCCAGGCACAGAAAGGCAAATACCGTATGTTCTCACGCATGTGGAAGCTAGGTAGAATAGTGGTCCCCAGAGGTTAGGAGGGGCCGGGGGAGGGGCAGATACAAAATAGTGTTAAATAGGATTACAGGTTATTACAGATATTATAAAGAAAGGTGAGGGAGTTCGGTTTCCCAACTGCCGGTTATCTCCACTGTGTGCCCGCGATTGTATACATGTATGAACCTCACTGTACTGCATTAATAGGTCCAGTTATGTGTCAGTTGAAAATAAGATAAAGGAAATCAGAATGGAGATAAGATTGAACTTACACTGATTGAGAGATTGGCCCTTGGATATTTATTTATTTATCTATTTATTTGCTTCTAAAACCTGCCTTTTGCTTTTAGCGTATGACCTCATAACATATTGTAATAATTGTGATCTTAGTCACCCTCTTGGGAAATGTGCTCTTCTCATCGTGAGAGGAACAATTTTGAGTGATTGTGTTTTAAGAAAGTGCTGGAAAGTGAAGAGGAAATGTGCAGTTAGCGCCATCCTTTGCTTTGGTGAGTCAGAAAAAAACTCAAGTGCTGTGGCTGCCGCTGAGGTGGGGCTTGGGCTTGACTTCAGGAACTAGGCGGTGGCAGTGACTGACTCCTTGGAGGCAACAGGCTGATTGGCCTGGGCGTGGCCAGCCATTTCTCCGTCAGTTCAGGAAGCAGCTCTGAGCTGTCCCTCTGACTGGACAGCCCCACCCAACCAATCTGCAAATTTGGCCATGAGTTAGCTGCGACTTTCAAGCTCAGACAGACGAGACTTTTCTGTGTCCTATTGGAGTGCAAGATGGTCCTTAAAACTGAAGCGGAGGATGGTGAGTACCAGCCCCAGACCAGGACCAAGGTGACCTGAGGCGCCTGGAGTGGAGTTCTGAGGGTCGTCTTCTATTCCTGTGTGAAATCCTGGGAGGGTGGCCCTTGGGGAGGAGTTAAGGAACAACCCTAACTCTGGTTTTTACCTTGTTCTCTTCAGGAGGAAGAGTGCAGAGTGTTGAGTGTTGGCATGCTGAGGCGGGGATGTGTGTGTGACAGAGCGGGCACAGTGTGTTTTGAAACCCTTTAAGACCCCGTCCCATCAGCTCCAAGGCGGGTGTTTCTTGGTGGTGCTCAGCCTCCTGCTGGGTGACTCTTCCTCTCTCTCAGTAGCAGTGGGTCAGGAGGTCTGGGAACTGCATGCCTCTAAAATGAGCCTGAGCTGAAAAGTAACACGTAAGAGCCTAGATTGAAAGTACCAGTGAGATTTGGGATAAATACTAGTAACTTTTGTTAAATGTAGCTAAGGGGAAACTTGGCCTTCCTCTTTCGTTGTAAGGTGGAAGCCTCCGGGCCTGCAAAGCTTCACCTCGCCCGCACTGTAAATCCGGAAGCTGTGAGTAAGGAGATGACCGACTCTGGCTTCTGACCCCAAAGGTTGTGCTGAAGATGAGCTCAGAAGGCCGGGCTAAGGGCAGAAGAGCCAAGTGGACATGTGTATGTCACAGTGACACCTTGACCTTGGTGTTTTAGTGCTGTAGGACAAGCTAGAGCAAAGTATATGCTGGCTTGTAGCTCATAATGAATGATAAGAATACGTTTGAAATAAAAATGAGGCTACATTTCAAAGTAGATTTCAGGAAAGTTACAATAAATTCTAGGAGTCCCTTGCATGCTTTTCTTTCTCTGGTTCATGTGTATTTAACCCTTTGGAGCCCACGGCTGATATGAGAGATACAAACTCAGTTACATGTTAAGGGTAACACCTGACCTCAAACTTCATGTCTCTCCCCGAGCCACAGATTACCTTGGACAGTGTCCATGGGGGCACTTTAGAAAGCTATGTCACATGTGAAAGATTTTGGAGAGAGACAAACAGGTGTTTGTAATAATCCTTTTGCATTTGAGGAAGGGGACAGTAATGAGATTTGATGTCAGGTCAGTGCTGAACTGCCCAGTTGGGAAATTTTGTATCTGAAAGGGGAGTCCAAGCTAGCCAAGGCCTTGAGTTCAGAGGGAACAAGGCTGAGGACATAGTCATGATAAAGCAGAACAGTAGATGCTAGAGCTCCTGGAGGGGCAGCAGTGACTGGTGGTCACCATGACACTTTCTTATGCTAACTTGCTGCTGGTCCTTCTAGTGAGCCTGGCTTCAGACCCACCCAGGAGATGTGGTTCAACAGTCGCTTCAAGGGCTGAGTCAGGTCACATGTCCTTGGCTAGAAACTTCAAAAGTCAGCAGTGGCTGCCCTGTGTGTGTGTGTGTGTGTGTGCGCGCGCGCGCATGCTTGGCCTCAGTGGGTCCCCAAGCTCCCAGGGGAGGGAGCAGCGCAAGTCAGCTTGGTGTGTCTCAGAGCTGCTTCTGCCAGGTTCACAGTCCTGGAGTTCACGCCTAATAGAGGTTAGATGAGGGTCTTTGAGAATGTTCTTGGAGAAGTCAGATTCTTTCTTGCTGTAGAATCTCAGACCTACAGTCCTCAAGTTGAAAGTGTTACCCTTTGTTTCCACCTTTACCTGGTGCCTACCTCCTCCCATGTTCGGGCCAGAACTGTAAGTGAAAATTAACCAATGCAGTCAATGGGGTGCTGTTTTCTTTAATTGCCATGAATTGGGGTTTTATTTTTTTGGTCTTATCTCTTTTTTTTTCTTTTTTTTTTTTTTGGCCCCACTGGGCATCGAACTCAGGACCTTGCACTTGTGCGGCATCACTGAGCTAAGTCCCTGGCCCTAGTCTTACCTTTTTAATGTTCAGTCCCCCTTAATTTGCCATTGACCCTCTTTCTGGGTTGAAACTCAAGCTTCTTGGTGTGGGCACCAAGGCCCTTCACAAACAGACCCTTCACTGTCTTCCCTGGGCAGCCCATCCCCAAGCCCTGACATGTGGTGTGCTCACCGTCCCCAGGCTCCTTACCTTGACCGGGACTGTCCATTCCCTCTGCTTCTCTATTTGGGGAGATCATTGGTCCTAAGCTTTGGCTCAGAGGCTGGCATCTCTGCAGCCTGTTGGCATGTCCTGGTGTTTCCTGAGTCCTTGATGTGTGTGGCTGCTGTGACTGAGTGGCCACTTACCTGGTCCTGTCCACTGGGCAGGGACTGGAGCTATTTAAATCCCAGCTCCAAGCACAGGGTGCTTTTTTTTTTTTTTGTACTGGGGATCAAACTGGGGACCTTTCACTTTAAAGGCAGGTGGCAGAACCACTGAGCTAAATCCCTGGCCCCTAGCACAGGCTGCTTCTGTGGCAGATGCTTGGCAAATACTGGCTGCATTTGAATTTGTAGATTTCAGTAGGAGAATAAAGAGTTGAGGTCTAGGCAGGGACAGCAAGTGAGAACTGGCCTCCCTCTTCTCTGGGAGAAGCTTACCTTAAATGTCTTATTTACCCTCATGGAATCTTGTACCTCATCTGCAAGCCGGAGGGAACAGTTCGTTGTCAGGAAATATGCAGGGCTCATAGTTTAGCTTTATTGTCCAATTTTCAGAAAGTGGACATGGAAAAACATATAAAGCCATAAGATACTATGTGGATTTAAAATGGTAATTGTTTATAGGAAAATAGGCCACATAGAAGTAAATATAGTGGTGCTGCAATAAGACATTGAGTTCTCAGGTTGCATCTGAAATGACTCACCTTAAGTTAGCTTGTGCCCCATTACTCTGTTCCTGTGTTCCAGGTGATTGTGCAGACTAGTTTTAGGTTGAAGTCTTAGCAGGAAGACATGGGGTGCGATAGCTCTAAAGTAATACCCTGTAGATAGTTTTACTCACTTCCTTACAGATTTTGAAGTCTGCAGAATGAAAAATGGTTACATCTTTATTTTTAAGCGGGAACATGTTTGGCATTGTGCAAAGTACATACCAGGGTAAGAAACCTGTCACCATCTGCTGTGACATTCTTGAAGTGGCGTTGCTCTGGCTGGATATTACAGGCTTTCTCGTTGAGCACACTGGGAACAAATGTGTACAGTGTCGTGCAGAGGTTTAGAACTGGCTTTTCTTCTTGGTAAAGAAGATGAACACAAATAAGGGCTTGGATTGTGTGCCTCTGAACAGTGTACCTTTATCCATTGACTGAGGGTTTCTGCAGCCTCCCAAGTTTTCCCCTTTGTAATGAAATATAAATGTGTGGGACTGGCTGCACTTGGTCAAGACCCATGGTTTAGTTAGAAAGTTTGTGGGAGGCAGCAGGTGGAATTTTGTAAGAAGCCCGTGTTGGTGGGAAGGAAAAGAGAAGGTATTTTAGGTCTTGGCAGGCTTAGGTGTGGGATCCTGAGCCCTTGTTCGCCTGCAGAATGGTTACCTGAGGTAAGGACAAAGCTGGGATCTGTGAGTCCAGATGGAGTGGGGGCAGTGGCCCCAGGAGCAGGAGACACTCTGCTTTTCAGCCAGTTCTCCTTGTGGCTTCAAAAGGCTCACCAGAATATATGTGTGGTGGGAGCTGGCAAGTCCTGGGTCTGTCAGAGATGGAGGGCTAGCCCTTCTGGAGGTGTTTGGGAGTATCCATCACATTTTCCCTTGTATCTTGGTGAGCCTCCAAAAGCTGCTTCATTGAAAGTACAGTGTTCTGATGTCTGCTCTTCCTTCTGTCTGATATTAGTGCAGCAAAGATTTCCTTTTTAGGAAGGGCCTTTCTGACTTCTGCCATTTTCTGCTCACCTTCTGAGGACCTTCAGCTTTCAGGACATTTATGTGACTTCACTGTACAGCCTGAGTGTGAAACGATTAGCTGGGACAGAGTCACTAACAGCAGTATAGACACAGATCTCTAGAGCTAGAGAGTACCTTTGGAGTTAGGTAGCCCAGCCCTAATCAGCTCTAAAGAGGGCCTCTCTGAACCTGCATCAGCCAAGAATACATTAAACTGCCACTGCTGGGATATGGTCATCCATGTCCTAATACATGTGATGGTTAACTGTGATTGTTGACCTGACTGGATTAGGGGACACCTAGCAGATTAGTGAAGCACACTTGTGGTGTGTCTGGTTGGGTTATGGTGGCATGACCTTGGCAATGATATTTGGTCCCTGGCTCCTTCCTCTCTGGCTCTCTCCCTGCTCTGCTTTCCAGCCACCATGAAATGAGCAGCTTTGTTTCACCACACTCTTCTGCTGTGATGTTCTTGCCAGCATATCATGAACCAAAGCTCTGAAACTGTGAGCCAAGTTAAACCTCTTCTCCTTTAAGTTGTGGCTGTCAACTGTTTTGTCCAGTGACAGGAAAGCTGACTAGTACAGTAAGTCATCAGTTAGCTTTTTGTCTTTCTCCTGCCTACACAGATGTTTGGCTCTGTAGACTGAGGTAGTGGGCTAGGAGAGCTGCAGAGGTGCAGCACCAGTTCCTCATGTGGGCCGGGTACCAGGATCCACGCAGCACTTTCGTCTTGTTCTTTACAGAGAATTCATAGAAGCTCAACACCTGACCTCAGAAAGATCCTGTGAGTTTCTTTTCCAAGTTAATGGCTGCCCCTGAATCCTCTTTCTCCCCTGGGTCTGAGCCTCTTTCCTTTTGTGTTTTTTTGCTAAGAGTCAGGATTCTGGGTCAGAGAATGAATTTGTAGGCCCCCTGTGCAACCCAGCCCTATGGGAGTAGTTACACCAGGGTGCATGGGTGTCAGAACAGCTCAAGGAGGAACACTCCAACATTAGTCTGGGTAGATGTAAGTGGCAGGTGGCATTTCTGCCTTTTCTCTGAATAGAAAACTTAATATTAACGGTTGTGTACATCGTGGATTCAGATATGCAGAATGGAGGCGAGGGAGGACTTGAAGCCTCCCTCCCGCCTATATAGTCCTTGTCTTAGTGGTGTTCAGTGATCTCCGGTCACGCATCATGCATGAGCAGACAGTGCTCTGAACAGTGCTCCGAACCGTCCTGTTTAGGGTGAGCTTTGCAGAGCACCTCACTCTGTAATCACCGTATACTGTTAAAATAGCTTTCAGTTTTTATAATTTTGGCACCATATCTGTTCAGTAAATTCTTAAATATAACTTAAGATTTTAATTGAGTGTATATTTAAGAGCTTAACCAAGCTCTCAGATTCAAATAATACTTAAGGTATGCACATTTTGTATGTGGGTAGTGCAGAAGGCTGTGCCAGTTCACACTGAGGGCAGCATGCGGGACTGTTGTGCACCCACCTTGACTGTCATTTATATTGCTACGCATTTCGATATCTGTCAGACTCATGGGAAATGGTATGTTGTTCATGCTGTCATTTGCACTTTTTAAAATTGAGTGTGAGTGCCTTTTCGTGTTTGACCACTTGCGTTTCTGTAATGTGCCTTCTACATCCTGACCTGGATCTCAAAGGCACAAGCCTTTGCCTGCCTCTGGCCTCCACCGTGCTGACTCTCCTGAGCCTGCCTCTGCTTCGGTTCTGCTGTTTCTTCTCTGTGTCATTCTCTTTCTGCCCGAGCTGCCTCCTGTGCATAGAGCCAGCCAGGAGCAGCCACTTCGGAGATGAAGCTGCCCCTCTGGCGCTGAGCCTGGCCAGGAGGCTGGTGTGCCACACTGCCGCAGCCTTGGCCTGATGCTGCTGAGAAGCTGTGGCCAGGGTGTGCCAGCTGCCGGGGCCTGGCCAAGACTTGGACAGCTGGGGACCTCTCCAGCGTTCTCGTGCTTCTCCTCAGTGCTTTCACTGCTGCTGTGCCTCTCTCAAACTTGGGCCCAGGACAGCTCTGCTGTGGGAGAACGTCTGGTACTGGGAGTCAGTATTTCTTTTCTTTATTATTATTATTATTATTATTATTATTATTATTATTATTATTATTATTCGGTACCGATTGAACTCAGGACCTTGCGCTCCCAAGACAGGTGTGGTACCACTGAGCTAAATCCTCTGCCCTGGGAGTCAGTATTTTTACTTTGAGATAAGGGCAGAAATGACTTCCCTCTCGAGACCTTGAGGCCTTCTTGCACAAGAGCAGATGCTAGTTGGTGCTTCTTTGAAGAAGCAGCTTATGCTTCTACTAGTACCGAACAATCATTTTTAAGTAGAAAGAACAGAATAGAATGATAAAAACTTGAAAGGGAGGGAGACTGAGAACCTGATTGTAGCCTGAGACTCTGCTCATTCTGCACTAGCATTGGAGCTGGGTCGGGCTGCTGGGGTGGGGCCAACACCTCTTGTGTGGAGAAGGTCTGTGAGCAGCATTGTGCATCCCAAGTTCACTGTGGCCATGAATTGAAGGATACAAGTTATGCCTCACAGTGTGCCTGCATCATCAGAAGTGCCTACAGCGACTGAATGATAGTGTGCATTTGCTCTGCACACTCGGCAGTCACTTCTGCTTCAGCTGAGTCTGTGTTCTAGACAGAGGCCGAGAATGGAAGTCAGCAGTGCCTTTGGAGAATTAGTATCAGAGAAGGAAGCCCTATGCCTGAGAGGGCAGAAACACTTGGCTTTGCTTCCACTTCTGATGTTCTGCGCGAACCTGGCAAATGACTGTGTCCCTGTACTTTTCCTTCCTGACCCCTGGAAGCTTTCCAGTCCTTTTCTTCTCAGGCACCTCCCTGCCACTGCTTGCCCTTCCAGGAGTTCTCCTCTCTGAATTGCACCCCCAGCTCAGCAGCAGAGTAGAATCAGCTGTCAGTGTCAAGTTCAGAGGCACCAGCCGACTCCAGCTTGCCTTCCAGACTTTCCCCATACAGGCCGCCCTTCTGCCTCTGCTGTCCTCATCAGCCCGCATGCCCTCTCCTTCCCAGCGCACCCTAAGGCTGAGCACCAGGCTTGGCGCTTGGTGAGGTTACCCTGGACTAACGGGTGCCACGCTCTTCTCATTCTCTGACACAATGGCACCTTGTGGGCATGTTGATTGGGCACTTCCTTCTTCTTACAAAAGCAATAGCGATGCATGAGCTCTTTGAGGGCAGAATCACATCTTACCACCTGTGCCAAGTGGTATTCCCTAAAAAAAAGGGGAGCTCAGTCCACATTTGTATTGTAAACTTGCAAGCTGAAGGCAGAAGTTTCATAAATAATTTTAGGGTTTGTTTTTCACAGACTCGGTATGATTTTTTTAACTGAGTTCTATCTTTTTTTTTTTTTTTTTTTTTTTTTTTTTTGGTACTGGAATCCAACTTGGGTCCTTGCGCTTGTGTGGCAGGCGGCAGACCCACTGAGCTAAATCCCCAGCCCAGCTCTACCATTTTGACACAAGAGTAAAATTATATTGTGCCTGTTTCTTAAAAGACAGATTGGAGCAAGCCCGAAGTATTTGGGTCAGATCTGGTGGCACTGCCATGGTGACGAGGATGTCCATCCACATTCAAGCTGGGCTGAGAAGGTCAAGTGGAAGGGCAGGGCTCGCAGAGGAAGGGGTGCCTTCTCAGCAGTTCTGTAATGGCAGGAGGCTGGAAGGGAAGGAGAGGAGAGGGTTTCCTGCTGGTGTTTCACTGGGGCAGTAACTGCCTCCAAAGGACATCTGCTGATGTCTGGAGGCATTTTGGGTAGTCACACCTTGTGGTGTGTGTGTGCTTGCATTTCGTGGGCAGTAGACACCCGAAAGTGCCTGAGGAGGAAGCCCCCACCTCAGAGAATGGTCTTCCCCAAGTGTCAGCGGTGCCCGATTGAAGAGCCCTGCCCTGGTCTAGTGCATTAATTTACTGTTCTCCTTTCAAACTTGTTTGGTACTTGTTTTAAATTCCTTATATCTCTGCTCTTTTGTCAGAGGCAGTGCTTCTCTCAGTGTGGTAGGTAGTCACCTTGGGTCCTGTTTCACTGGGAAGCCTGGGCCAATGGAGTGTATGTCTGGGGACTGGGCCCCGTCTCTGGATGTTTGACAAGTGCCCTTGGTGACTGTCATGTCCTCAGAGGTCAGAGAGCCGTCATCACACATTACCATCGCCAAGATGAACTTGCCTGACCTGTCTAACCTGGGCAGCCCAGACTGCCCACAGCAGCCTTGGTGCTGGCCTCACTGCTGGCGCAGGCACGTCCTTGTTGGCTGAGGGGTTGGAGGGTCCCATGTGGAGACTGAGTGTTTGACACCCCCCCACAGGAGGGTCACAGAGAACACTGCCTCTTGAGCCTGTTCGGGATGGTGTGAGTTGTCTGGCCAGTGCCACTTTGCCTGCTGGCCTGATGCAACGCCAGGGGAAGAATAGCATCTGCAGACCTGGCCTCTTGTTTGAGAGTAAGGGTTAACATCCTCCCAGTGAGAGCAGCCATCAGGTTTTGCTTCTACAGGGGAAAAGAAAGCAAGCGCAGCCTATGAGCGAATGGTAGTGGTGCCTCCCCTCCCCCAGGAGGCCGAGAGGGGGCGGCGTGATTGCATTCATGGAAATGAGCCTGCAAGGAGCGGAGCAGCACACACTGTCAGCCAGGGCTGCTGCTCCAGCCCGGCGCCCCCAGCCCCAGGGCCAAGGCAGCCTTCCCCACCAAGCTCCGCTCACTCCCACCCGTGGCTGGGCCGCTTGGCTTTTGTCTCCTCCCGCCGCCTCCTCCCTTGCCCTTCTGTGCTGGCACTCACATGCTGTCCCTGCTCCAGCTCTCCCTGCACCCAGGGTTGGGGGAGCTCCAGGGAGCCTGGGCCTGTGGGATTGCTGCACAGAGCCACCATGGCCTCTGACGCGGAGAGCTGTGACCAGCCGAGGCTTTGATGTTGCTGCCCAGGGCTTGCCAGGACACTGGGGCCACTCCAGAGGGAACTCGCCACGGGTAAGAGGTGGGGTGGATGGTGTGTGGAACCAGTCTGCAGCTCCCTCTGTTATGCATTGCTGCCGGCAGCAGGAGCTATGTGTGGAGCTGATTCTCTGCATGTCTGTTCTTGGGTTCCCATCCTCTGCTTTTGGGTAGGTAGTCAAGCATCCAGCATAGTTTCTTCTTGGACTGGGACTTAAGGATAAGCTAATAATCAATTTCTGGGCTCAGCTGTGGTGAGGTTAGAAGCAGGGTGGCAGAAAACAGAGGGACAGATTCAGGCTGAGAATCTTCCCCTCAAGGCCTGCCCACCTGCTTAGGAGATTTTTACTTACTCATTCTGCACTCTGGAGCCCTTCCTGGATGTCGGCAGCCCTGGTTCCAGTGATGTACATGGAAAGGAGTTGGAGTCATACATCCAATTTGATCCGAGGGGCCCTTTCCAGCTGCAGTATGAAGAAGAATGTTTAAGTGTACAGAAGAATTCAGGGTGAGACAAGGGGCGGCCAGCACACAAATAGATTTTAGAACAGGTGACACGAGAGAAAGCTGACTTCTTAAAACCCCACCAGACCTGTTTTGGAGACAGAAGGGGTATGGTAGCCCAACTGTGCCGGGTGATAGTGGATGTAGCCGGCAGCAGTGTTTCATCCAGGAGACACAGCCCCTACCCCCTTGGAGGAGGGGCAAGCACCATCATTCAGGTCTCTGGTGAAGTGGGGAATTCCCGGACCTCCCTGAGAGCTGAGTACACTGCTTGTCTGCTATCTCCGGAGGCTGGTGCAGGAGCGGACTGCTTCTCACTGACCATGGCCCACCCCTGCCTTCAGCCCCCGGATCTTCTTGGAAACAGCAGCTGTGACAGGCTTGATGCCCAGTGCTGGAGAAAAGCTGCTGCAAATCCCAGCTTTAAGGTTTTAGAAAAAGAAAACGTCCCTGCATTGATTCTCTTTTGGCCATTATTGAAAGCAGATGTTAAGTTTGTTTTTATAAACCACATTTTCAGAATAAAATTTTATGGCTTAATTTGTTACTACCTTGAAATTTGACCTCATTTCCCTCTAGTTGTTTAATCACAACATGTAAACTCAGTCTTGAGTTCTAAGACTTATTAGATAAAATTGTTGATTCCCTATAAGGTATAAATACCTTCACTTTATAAGTCAGTTTATGGAGCTTTAAAATATACATTCTCTTATTAAGAAGGATTGGGTCCCAGTGCCTGCTTGGCAAGTGCAAGGACCCGAGTTCAATCCCCGGTACAAAAAAAAAAAAAAAAAAAAAAAAAAAAAAGAAGGGTTGGGATAGTGACATCCCCATTCCCCACTTGCGGAAACTGGTGTGAGGAGAGGTCATGGTTTGACCAAGGTCACAGAGAAGTCAGTGCAATCATAAGTATTGTTTGGACTCCTCCCTATTTCACCCCTGGCAGTGCCCCTTCTGAACTCATGAGGCCTGATTGTCAGGATAGTTGCTGGAAGACTGAAAACAGGAATGAAGTCTTCCTTAAACATGCAGAATGTTAGGCAGCCATGGAATGGTGTCCATGCCTGTCCTCCCAGCACTCTGGGAAGCTGAGCTGGGAAGTTCACAAAGTTCAAGCACAACCCAAGCAAATTAGTGACTTAGATCCTGTCTCAAAATAAAAAAGTATTAGGGATGTATCTCAGTGAGAAGGCCCCACATTCATTCCTGAGTGCGCGCCCCGCATGATGCACGTGGTGGGGGGGGAGTACACACGCACATGCCTACAGAATGTGGCAATAAAATTTCCATGGACTTCTAGGCAGGAGACTGGGTAGTTTTGCCTAGAAAGAGTTTAAACTAGAATTGTCGAAATATCTGTATCTGCAGTTTACTAGAAGGTACCTCTGTCTCTGTTTAAAATCATTTATGCTAGCTGCATACTAATTTAATTCTTTTGGTTTGGTAGCGTGTATAAATTCTTTAAAAATCTCTTAGGCTGCAAGTGGTAGTGAGATTCTTGACGTGCTCCTCACAAAAGTCAAATCATATAGTTTCTTGGAAAAGGGGCCAAAGTTAGCAGAATTAGGAAGATTACTGTTTATTTTTAATTATGGTAAAGTACATATAAACAAAAGAAAACACTTTAATTATAAGTACACAGTTCAGTAGTTTTCAGTATATTCACATTGTTGTATAGCAGCCTCCAAAATTGTTTTATCTTGAAAAACAGAAGCACTATCCCCATTAAACACTAACTCCCAATCTCTGGGCAGCCCCTACTCTGCTTTCTGTCTATGAATCTCTCATTTCTTGAGGTCCTGTGGCTGGAACCCAGGGCTTTGTGCATGGTAGGCTGGTGCATCCTAACCCTAACTTCTGACTTCATGAATGTGACTGCTCCAGGGACCTTGAGTAAGTGAAGTCCAGCAGCGTCTGCCTATTTGTTTCTTGTTTTGTTTGTTCTTTGAGACAGGGTCTTGCTATGTAGTTCAGGCTGGCCTTGAACCTGAGGCAATCCTCCTGCCTCAGCCTCCAGAGTGCTGTAATTACAGACATGCACCACCATGCCAGGCCAGTATTTGCCCATTTGTGAATGGCTGTTTCACTGAAGTGACTTTAGCGCTTATCTGCGTTTTAGCATGTGTCAGAATTTCCTTCATTTTCAAAAGGAAGCCCGGAAGACATAATGTCAGGTCTTAGAAAGGATGCTAAGGTTTTGACTCAATAAGAAAGGAATGTACAGTCGACAGACTTTCTGTAAAGGTGTTATGTGAACTCAGCATTGTGTGACTGAGTCTCTGACTTTGGTCATACCCTTTTCTCTGACCACCCTCCCTTTGTCCGCCGATCATGAGATCAGTGATCCTGAGAACTCTGGATTTGGGGCTTTCCATGAAATTTTGAATCATTTCAGTTTTTTGTTTTACATCTGCCTTCTCTTACCTTTTGTCTGAAAGATTTCTCAGTTTTGGTTGCATTCTTATCCTTGTCTTAAAGACCCGACACTTTGTGCATTTGTCACTTGGCGTGGAGTTTTGTGAAAGGTGAAAGCTGCTTTTCTCAGTGAGGAAAACAGTTCAAACCTACCCACTCTCCATTTCCTGTAGTGACCCCTGAGAACTTCTTCACTGTTTTTGAGTTTGCACTGCTTTGTCTAGTGTCTGCCTCACCTGCAGTTCTTGGGGGCTTTACGGTGCGGTCCTCTTATTGTACAGCTTCTAATTCACCCAGGGTGATTTCACTCAGGTGGGCTGTGTTGCCCTGTGATATGAAAGCTGTATAAAAGAGGTAGACAGGATTAAGGAGCTGCTTTTGGAAGCAACTCTTTGTTATGCTGTGCCCTTGAGGTACACATAGCTGGGCTCGGGAGCCAAGGCAATCTGTCGGGGCCCCTGGTTGGGTGGAGTGTTGAGGCATGGCCCCTTAACAAGCCTCCTGAAATGCCCTATGTGACTGTAGGTATTTCCCGGGAAATACAGGAAACGGACAGGTCTGTGTCCAGCTGTGAGACAGTGGTACGTGTGGGTTCAGTGAGCACGGTGGTCTAGAAGGAAGAAACCGGACAGGAAGGGCAAACTGGATCTGCAGATAAGGCTTGGATGGGTACCTGCTTGTGCCTACTGTTGTGTTTTCCTTGGCCTGCGCTTGACTCTCACAGTGATGCCTGCAGTGGATAGTAGTAGTTCCATTTTACAGATGGGCAGAACCAAGGCCCAGTTGCCAAACATTGGCATGGCTCCAAAGCCTGAATTCTTTCTAGTACTTTGAAGTTTTTCTTCAGATTTCAAGTCGCTTCGATTTACTTACCAGAAGACAAGCTGGTTTGGGCCTGTAGAGGTGAATAGGCCCTGGCCCTGCCGTTGAGGTCTCCTAGCAGGGTACCCTCAGGAGGGTGGCTAGGTGATGCCCCATGCTGTCTCCAGGGCTCCCCGCCTTTGGAGTTCTCTACCCCGAAAGCACTGGGATGGTGCATTGGGGAGGCTGGAGGAAAATGTCCTCTTCACCAGGCGGCTTCCTGTGTCTACTTTTGACCCTAGCGATGTAGCATGGGAAGAGCCACCTGGACCCTCAGAACAGGCACCAGTTCATGCTAGCTTACCTACTGAGAGGTGGGAGATGAAAGGACGCTGGTTAATTATTTTGGTGGGAAAAATAAGGCAAGTGGTATATTCTAAAGCCAGGCAGAGGACCCTGGGGATAGCAGGATGATCTCAGAGAGTGAGGTCTTAGTTCCAGCGCATGCCTAGGACCTCTGACTTCACAGCACTCATGGGGATTTACCACAGCACCATCTGTTTGGGAAGCAGCTGCTGTGTGTCCACTGAGCAGAGCCTGCAGTCACAGGGGCTTCGTCTTCCATGGGCCTTCATCATGCTTTGCAGGTAGCTGCCGCGGCAGCAGAGCAGCGCCTTTCTTGGGCTCATTTACTTTCCCTTGCCTTGGACAGAGCGTGCTGTCCCTTTAAGACCTCCTCCTTTGTATGTGCTGGCTGCAGCCCATTTCAGCTCTGCTTTCTGCCGACTGTTAAAATCTGCAAAGCAACATTTAAATAAATAAATGAAAGCTTTCCTTGTATTGCTTTTCTATTCACAGTGAGCACAATGGCCCCTTATAGTTTATGTCACTTTAATCCCCTTCATTACATTGGAACCATGGAAAGGAAGGGCGAGGGGCCTGGTGCTGGACCATCCCCTGACTGCCAGCCAGACACCTTCCAGATTAACCTTTGTGGGCGTGGATTCCAGGGCCCTCAAGGGGGCACTGAGCAGGGGCGGTGCTGATGTGTGGGGACAGCTCCCTGTCTGATCCATCCCCATTGTGCTCGGGCTGGTGGTGGGGACAACCTGCTGCCCTCCCCAGCATCCGTTCTTTTAGAGAAAGGGTTTAGCTGCCTCCCTGGCACAGAAGCGTGGCTGCAGCACGTGGCAGTGGGGGAAGGAGCAGTTGTTTGTCGCTTTGCCATCTGGCCCATCAGGCTAAGCTGCTCTTGGTCTGCACTGATGGCTTCCCGCTAGGCCCGGGTGCAGAGAGGATGTGGCAGCCAAAGTCCTAGAACAAGCCCCACCTCCAGCACCCATAGTGCTGGTCCTCAGTTCTGTCAAATGAAACCAAGCCTCTTGTTACTGGAATTTCTTTTTCTCATGGGCAGATTAAGAATGAAGGCTTAAAGATTTGAGCCGGGCATGGTGTCTCACACCTGCATTCCCAGCACTCAGGAGGCTGAGGCAGGAGGAGCCTCATGAATTTGAGGCCAGCCTGGGCTACATAGTGAGTTCAAGGCCAGCCTGCACTACATAGCAAGGCCCCTGTCTTTAAAAAGAAAGGACGTTGCGTTGATTTGTTGAATCAAAAGGGAAGCAGTGCTGTTACTTAAGTATGAGATGAAGAAGTAATTTAGAAATCACGTGATTAATGTAAGAGCCTGGATCAAAATAAACAAGAACAAACGCCTTGCTTATTCTAACTGCAAATTGACTAGTAGCCTTTTCTGACTGCCTACAAGGACACAGAGGCTTGTCTTTTCTAGTAACCAGAGATTAATGTTTGTCTTTCACTTTCAAACCAAGTTGTACACATGTGTGTTTATTTTAAAGCAAGTGTTCAGGGGCTCATATGCCTCTTTCCCATTCCCAGACCGACTCCACAACAGCTGCCCTTAAGGAACTTTGTCTTTAGATCTGATAGGTCCTGCCAAGTTCTTATGTCACTGATAATTTTGTCAGAATTAAAGATTATTTTCTGACTTCTTCCTACCATGGACAAGAATACAGCTCACATCATTTTGTTGCTTCCTTTTTGATAGTTTATCACGTTTTTAGCTCCTTGATTTTCACCTTTGAAGTTTTCTTAGTGTTCTTACAGCCTGGGTTCCTGCCCCACGGTCCATACCCACCCTCCTACCTCCTGCTGGGCCCCTGCTTTCCCCTAAGTCTGCCCTCCCCTTTGGCATTTGTCAGCACTTCCTTCGTGTCAGCGTCACAGTCAGTAGAAGGTAACTCCTGTTGTTTAACCTGTGCCAGCCTCCTGTGCTTTGTCTACAGTTGACAATGCTCAAATAGCACTCTGACAGGAATGTGCATACCACTCCGAGAGCCAAGCGGGCCCTGCCCACCTCAGGAGCAGCCCCATCCCTTCCCCACAGGATGCTGCTGCCAGTAGCTCGCCCTGTCCCCTCCGTTCCCTTTAGTTCTGTTTTTCCTAATTCCAAATGGTGCCTCTTCATCTCACAGATATTTCACGGCTGCTTTCTCACCCCTTCCTTATCTCCAATCTGTGTCATTCTTTGTGACCACCTTCCATGCGCAGCCTTTTGGCTTCTTCCTGACCGGGTCTGGTTCTCTCTGTCCCTCCCAGGTGAGTGCGCTTGGCATGTCCCCAGGTCCCTCACCCCCTCACCCCTTGTACCCACATCTTGCTATCCTGACGTCATTTCTTTGGAAGAGGTGCATAAGAGACTGGCTTTCTGCTCCTCAAGTGGCTGAGATGATTCTGATTTGCCCCCCAACTCAACAGACAACTCTGGGATCGAATGATTCTCAGTTCCGAAGGCCCGCCCCCACTGTCCAGTGTCTACCTCTTCCTGACACCTGTCAGCTTCTTCCTTGTGGGTGGTCCGATGAACCACCTTCCCACTCCCTGTGGAGATTTTAGGATCTTTACTCTGAACTTCTGAACCTTTATTTCAAATACTTATTTCTTGGAGTCTCTAGAAATTTTACATACTGAATGGATAGATTTGCTTATTATTTTCAGATCTTTTCTTTTATTCTCTTCTACAAGAATTCCTCAACTTCTTCAATCCTTTCTTGACTTTTTTGGTTTTTAGACTTGTGCTTGGGGGCAAAAATGTTTAATGTGCAAGAGTGTGTTCTTTTTCTGTGATCGTCCCCTTTTTGTAACTTACTGTTTTAGTTTTCTTTTGCTTCCTAACAGTCTGTTTGCTACAGGATGGGTTTTTCTGTTGCCAGCCGCATTGTTTGTCACTGGTGTTTTAGGTCCTGATGAAACAAACTGTGCTCGCTGACAAGGGTTTGGTCAGCAGGGTTGGTCCTGAGCTGCCTTTGGGATGATCCCTACGTGCTCCAGGTTTGGTTAAAGCTGCTGCTGGGGGTGGCTTGGGCTCAGGTGGTTGTCTGGAAAATTCATGTGCAGCACCCTCCAGCCCCTGATGTAGAGAAATGCTTTCAAACCACAGCGCTCAGTGCTCCAGCAGCTATGAAATTTATTTAGGGACTTCAGCCACTGTTAGGGAAACTAAAGTGGTATAACAGAAGATATCAGTGCATTTCACGTTCTGTGAGGTATGGCGTTTAGTAGTTCTGTGTATGGAGAGTTCGGCTTGTGATGGAAAGTGCATTTCTTGCTGTCCATTTGGAGAAGTTTAAGGCACTGTGTTGGAGTGGGAAGGGAAGTCTGGTGAAGAGGAAGCCAGCTGTGGCTCTGGAGCTGCTTGCTGGGCTGCAGGCTCCGCGGTAGCCCTTGTTCCCACCCTCCCCTGTTGTCTGAAGTGATCTTTATGAAGTGTCAGGACGTAGCTGCTCTGACATGGCGGATGAAGCCTAGGTGCCACAGGCAGTATGTGAGCATCTGTGCCCTTGGACAGAGGGTCATTCCACCTTGGGGCTGCCCGCGGGGTACTGTGTGATTCACAAATGCAGTTTTGTGTGCTAGTGTCCCCTGTGGGGGCAACTCAAATAATACAGCTAACTGATCAAGTCACTATCCTGTCAGTGTATCGTCAATGTAAAATGCTCCTGAAGATGTGTATTATTTATTTTATATAGAAAGTGTGTTTCCAGGTGTGCAGTGGCCCCCAGGGCTTGTGGCCAGCACACTGCGGCACAGCTTTAGCCCAGCCGGACTCCTGCTGAAGAACAGGGGGAGTGGGCTGGGCTTCCCCCAGGTATGGGAGTGCCCTGGGCCTTGCCACAGAGGAGGGAGGCACTGTCATCATTACCCCCCAGTGTTCTGAGGATTCATTTGTCCTCAGTCACCGACAACCCAAAAATATTAAAAAGAATTCCAGAAATAAACAATTCATAAACTTTAAATTTTGAGTTGCATGCTGTTCTGAGTAGTGTGATGAAATCTTGGGTCCATCCCTTCTGTTCATGAACTTCTGTGAAATTGTAAGGCAAGAAAAAGAAACTGATGCAGACGCAGCCCACTTCAAATCTGGGCACAGTGCAAGGCAGTGTGTAGTTAAGGTAGAGAAGGTATTCAGTACATGCATGTGTGTCCAGGAAAGACACAGAATTTACAGGGTCCAATGCTGTCGTAGTTTCTGGCACCCACTGGGCTCTTGGAACACGGATAACGGTACTTCTGAATCGCTTGCGTTGTTTTCAAAACACCCTAGACTTTATTGACAATAAAATGTGGCCCAGGTAGATTAACTTCTCTGGAGGGCCTGATGTAGTCTGTGGTAGATTAGAGTTAGGTTGGTACCTGGTTCACCTAGTTTTTCCACGCGGCCACCTGGCTCCCACAGTGTTCCCAGGAGGGTCATCTTGGAGGGGGCCTCCTGCCCGGCCCTTATGCAAAGGGACATGGAGATTTAGTCACTGGAGGGCTGTGCAGCTGTTTCGTGGTAGGAACTGTGATCTGGGAATTTAAGTAGCTCTGCTCTGATGATGGAAACACCTTGTAAAACCATATTTAAACCATGTAGAAGGGTATAAAGCAGGAGAAAGTCTCATACCAGAGTTAAGTACTGTTTCACTGTATACACAGTCTCCAAGCCCCCATACCGCCCCAAAATGGCACAAAGCCTCCAAAACCCATTTCTCTATGTTGCAGTCCAACTCAGGGTCATGCAGTTCTGGTTTTTTGTTGTTTTGTTTTTATTTTGATTTGTTTTGTGGTATGGTGGGTTGAACACAGAGTCTTTGCACTGACCTACAATCCCCAGTCCTTTTTACTTTTTATTTTGAGTAAGGGTCTTGCAAAGTCACCAAGTGGCTCAGGCAGGACTCAAATTTGTGATTCTCCTGCCTCAACCTCCCAGAGTGTTGGGATTACCACCTCATAATTCTGCTTCCATTTTTAACCATGAGGCAGCTAAGATCAAATCAGCAGTCTGAAGTCTCCCAGTTAGAAGGGCAAATGTAGCCATGAAGTCAGCCAGCACCCACTGTTGTCATCCATGGCCTGCCTGACTTAACCCTCAGCAGTCTTCGTCTCTTTTTCTTTCCAAATGTTCCTTTCTAAGAACACTTCTGTGTAACTGAGGTCCCTTCCTTTCTTTAGCAAACCTGCTGAGAATTGGAGCCAGAATGATTCCTAGCAGTAGATCATAACTGAAGCAGGCTGAAGCTGGCTTCTGCCTGCCTCCCTTCCTCCCTTCCTCCCTTCCTCCCATCCTCCCATCCTCCCTCCCTCCCTTCCTTCCTGGTATCTGTGTCTCTTTGTGTTTTTGGATTTTTTTTTTTTTTTTTTTTGGTGAGGTGAAGGCTCTCAGTAACATTGGTCTTCTCTTCACAGTTCCTAGTGACCTAACTGAAGAAGAGCGTCAAGAGCTGGAGAACATCCGGCGGAGGAAGCAGGAGCTGCTGGCCGACATCCAGGTAAGAGGACATGGAGAGGCCAACTGAAGTAGAAGCAGATGTGATGTACTGTGTGTGTGCATGTGTCCTTCAGGGTGTCTCTTAAGTCGCACTGAACTCACCTCTTCTAGTTACAGGCGAGAAAGTGGGATCTTGGCAAGGTTAAGTAATTTATGAGGTTCGCCCAGCTGCAGGCCGTCAGAGCTTGGGGAACCCTGAGCTGAGTCCTCACATGTTTCTCCCTGACTGGAGGGCATTGAGGGGGTTGGGTCTCAGGTTTCCTGATCCCCTGTGCAGGTGCTGGTGCTGCCACTTTCCAGCAAGGTGATTTGAGAGAAGCGTTTAGGTTCCATGGACTTCACTTTCTTCCTTCTAGGACAAGAATGAAAAAACCCTCATAGGTTGATACAAGGATTGAATGAGCTAATATTTATGAACACTGAGTATAGTTTCTGGTTCCTGGAAATACTTGGTCAGTGACAGTAATTTTATTGTTTCTCCAGGTTACTTTGCATACCTGTCAAGCTTTGTAGGAACCAAGACATAGAAAAAAGCCACATGTTAAATTATTTTAGCCCTGAGGCACTAAATGTTACTCTTCTAGAATTCTTTGTAAAACTTCAGGAGTTGGGAGGGACCTGAAACCCTGAGCTATGAAGTGTGAGAGGAAAGACTGACTTGCTGGAGTGCTGGTGTGAGAACAGCTGGACAGTCTGCCTGGATTTCTTGGTCCCTCATTCACTGGCAAATGCTAGAAAGTGGAGCAGGTCTCACTCAGACCCCTTTACTGTGACAGTCCCTCATTCCAGGGCTGGCTGAAAAGAAAGGAAGGTGGCAGATGGCAGTGGATTTGGTCAGACATCCCCTTTGCCACCCACATGCCATTTGGGTTTGGTGAGCCACAGGCGTGTTGTGAAAGACAGGGTCAAGGCAGCCATCCCTCAGTGAAGATATGATTTTACACAGTGTATGTGCATATAAACTCCTTTCCCAGACCATGGACTCAGAGGCCAAGAGCTGTCTTTCCTCCTTGGTGTCCCTGCAGTGCTTACTCTCTCCTAGGAATGCAGTCATAGTTGTTGAGTAGATGAATTTTCTCAATCTTTGGATTCGTTATGTGCCCTATTTTTGTTTCACTCTGCCGTGCTTTATGTTATCTTGGGTGGACGGTGTTTAGGAGCTTTGGAAGTGTCCCATTGGCCCATGTCTCCCCTCTGGGTAATTTGGAACCATCTCCTTACAGAGGCTAAAGGACGAGATAGCAGAAGTCGCTAATGAGATTGAAAGCCTGGGATCCACAGAAGAAAGGTGAGTCTGCCCTGCCGGGGCCTCCAGGCATGGCTCCTCAATGTGCCCAGCCCTTCCCCGTGAGGGGAGTGGGTTTTCCTCCTCGACGTTTTGGGGTGCATACAGCCTCACCCTTAGCTGCCAGCCCACACACAAGGCTGGGGAGCATTGGCAAAGTGGACTAGAGAACTTCAGAGATCCCAGAAAGTCTTACAGTGCTCTGATTTTTGTGTGAAGTCCTACGTCTTGTCTGCAGTGTTTGTATTACAAAATTTCTGGTTTTCCTTTTGGGTAAAGGAAAGCCTAATAATGTACACTGCTAATAGAATTTCAGAAGGCTAGTGTGCTCAGTTATGTCTGGGCACATTTTTGAGCTGATTTGCACGTCTCTGTTACTAAAGGGAAGATAATACAGAAATTAAATTGTAGTGTAAAATGACAAGAACTCTGCACATGTGTTTTATGACATAAAACATTAGTGACTTTTGGGGTTTAGTTTTGAATGGGGGTTCCCAGACTGTTTTCTAAGTGCTTAATGTGGTAAGTGGACTGTTTCCAAGTCTGTTTTTCTAAGTCCAAGCCTTCCTGTCTGGCTTCATAAGGCCATTTGATGAGTTGTTTTAAACTCCTGTTAGTGGCACCATTAGGGACGAGTGAGGCTGTGTGTTCCAATTTATTCCTTCTCTGCTCTGAGTTGTCATCTTGGACTTTGGTGTTACAGCTTTCATACGTTCCATTAAAAAATCATAGCACAAAAGAAATGGATATTAGAGTTCATCAAAGTTTAAAATTTCTGTTATAAAAGATAACTGTTAAAAAGGAAATGAATAGGCAAACCACAGGGTAGGAGAAAATATCTGTAATGCGTATTTCAGAAAAAAGATCTGTATCCAGAATAGACAATACATGTAGTTCAGTAATTAGAATGCCTACCACTGGGTGTGGTGGCACACTCCTGTAATACCAGCACTTGGGAGGGTGAGGCAGGAGGAACGCTGTGAGTTTGAGGCCAGCCTGGACCACATAGTGAGTCCTAGGCCAGTCTGAACTACATTGCGAGACCCTGTGTCCAAAACAAAACAAGAAAAAAAACTGCCCAAGTAAAAGATAGATAAAACCCTGAACAGGTACTTGGCACAGGAAGGTGTATGTGTAATAGACACATGAAAAATACTTGTCATCTTTAAGTGTAAAGGGATGTGACATAAAATTTCCAGGAGATGCCACTTTACACCCTCTAAGATGGCTGAATTTAAAAAGATTTGCTGTACCTGGTGTTGGCGAGTGCTAACCAATATAAGAGAGAGTGTAACCACTTGGGGAAACAGTTTGTCAGTTCGTATGATGTTAAGTACATGTCTTGGCTGATTCTTCGCAGTTCAACTCCCAGAGAAATGAAAACATGTTTCCTAAAAGACTTTCACAAGGATACTTACAGCATTCTCATTTTAAAGTAAACCAAATAGAAAAGGCCTAATGCCTACCAACAGGTGAATGGCGGCAGGCAAGGGAACGGACTGATTTGGGAATAGAGAGTGAGCTGCTCACCTGCAGCAGTGTGGCTGGGCCTCGTGAATATCGCCTCAGTTTGGAGAGGCCATGGGGAAGCCACACTTGCAGTCTATGGGGTTCTGAGACAGGAGAAACCAAACTGGTGGTAGAATTCACAGCAGTGGCTGCCTCACGATGGCAAGGGGATGGCAGAAGGGACATGAAGAACCTAGAGGGAACAGGTTCCACCCAGAATGGTAGTCACGAGGGTATTTGTCAAAGCTGTGCAGTGCACACATAATATGTGCATCGTGTTGAATATAAATTATACCTGAATTTTTAAAAGAAAAAAATGGCCCCTTCTGGGGGGCGGTTCGAACTCAGGCCCTTGCACTTGTGAGGGAGGTGGCGGAACCACTGAGCCAAATCCCTGGCCCTGGCCCTTTTCTTATTCTAAAGGTAATATACATTTATTGCAGGAAATTGGTTAAATAGAGAAAAGCATGAAGAAAGCAATTTTTCCATAATCAGTTATTCGGGGAAGTTTTGGCATATTTTCTTTCTATGTGTTTTGGTGTACACATACACACTTGCAGGATTTAGAGTACCATTTGCTTAATTAAACTTCCGGGGGTGCCAGACGTGGTAGCGTACGCCTGTAATCCTGGCACTCAGGCAGCTGAGGCAGGAGGATCACTGTGAGTTCGAGACCAGCCTGGGCTACATAGTGAGTTCCAGGGCAGTCTGAACTACATAGTGAGACCCTGACTCAAAAAACCAAGAAAAAAGAAAACTTCTGAGGTCATTGTAGAGCAAGCAAGAAATGAAGATGTCAGGAGCATGGGCAGCTGGCACACTCAGCTGGCAAACTTACTGAAAACTGGGGTTCTCATCAGCTGCAACTGAAGGTGTGAGTCAGGCAGCTGTAATCTGGTTATTTATCTTTTAAATCTAGAACTTAAAATAGTTCTCCAGTATTGAAAGTCCTGCAGGGGAAGTATTCTGCAGATCTAGGGCATGCATACACATAGAATCTCTTAAAATCAGGTAGGCATTACCTCAATTCTGATTTTTCCACAAGACAATGGTCTGATGCCTAATGCCACTATTTTATAAAAATGCTCCTAAATGCTATTTAATCAAATAGAAATGATATACTTACCCTGCAAGATTAAAAACTTTGTAAAGTTCAGAGGCACCAGTTAGCTACAGTGACACAGTAGCAGTACCAAAGCCATTTTGGAAACCCTGTCGAGGTGACACGTGTGGAAAGTGGGGACAGCCTGTTAGAGAAGTGGCTGCTGTGGGCCTGGGTTTGGGCTCAGTGCTGGAGCTCAGTGCCGGAGCTCTGGGAAACCAGTGAAGGTAGTCAGCCGTCTCTGTGTGTGTCCCAGGCAAGCGCAGTGAGCAGTGATGAGTGATCATAGCCGCAGGAGACCTGGAGTATACTGCTGCAGGCAGGGTTGTCTGTACTGTGTTTCCTGGGGCCTGGAGGATTTCAGTTAGGGACCTCTCTGAGGCCCAGGACACTGAGATTCACTGCTGATTGTGTGCCCTGCCTCTGTGGGGCCATGAGGTTGTCCCACACTGTTGCAGGAAATCACGAAGCAGGCTTTCTCTTGAGGTATTTGTTTGGAAATGCAGATCAAAGTAAGTCTCCTGGATTTAGAAAAAAATAATTAATCAGCGATTTAGATTCAGTGGGAATTTCCAGACATCTGGTCTCAGCCATTTGTTCTAGCTCAAGTGAAACTTCATGTTCCCTTCATGACTATTCCCATGTGGACCTCGTCACCTTGTGTCTTGGTCCCCTTAGCATTCTCAGAGTTTTCAAGTACTCCTTTGAAAAACCTCAAGACAGGTGGATTCAGCCAGTGAGTTTAGCCCATGAAGACATGTTCCTCATGTTCCTCAAGGCAGTAATAGTTTAAATTTTAATTTCTGAGCAACATTTTTTCTCTGAAGCTATAAAATTACTATTGTCATTGACGGCAAGAGTTGCCAAATTAGGGTGCACACCAGAATTATTGGGAGGGAATTTTAAAAATTCGAATTCCTTGGCCCTGCCCCTGGAATGTCCTCATGACTCAGTGGCTCAGGCCCTGCTGCTCGGAGTCCATTTGTGGGATTGTGTAAAGCACAGACCTCTGAGCAGGTGTGTGAAGGAGAACTGAGACTCTCCAGAGACTCCTCCAGCTGTGGGTTTATGGACCGCACTTTGAGAAGTGTGTTCTGTGAATCTCCATTTTTCAGTCTGATGCAAGTCAAAAAAACTGCTTATTTGGGAGGTTTCTTCAAAAGTTGATATAAATGTGCTGTATGACCCAAGAGAAATGAAAACACACACCCAAGCCAAGAAGCGTGTAGAGATGTCTTGTGCATAACCACCCCAAACTGCAGACAGTCTAAATGTTTATCACCTGGTGTGTGGATGGAAGATATAACATATATGTACCCACATAGAAGAGTACTACCCAGCAACAAAGGGGAATGTAGTTCCATTACCTCCTATAAGCATGGATAAATCTTGAAAATGTTACGCTAAGTGAAAGTTGCCAGATGCAAAAGGCCAGTTATTGTATAATACTGTTTCTATGAAATGTCCAGAAGAGGCAAATTTGTACAGGCAGAAAGTAGGTTGATAAGTTGCCCCGGGGCAGAGGTAATCCTACCTCAAGGGATTAACTGGAAATGGGTGTGAGGAATTTCATTCAGTTACCAGAAATGATCTAAAACTGGATAATGGTAGCACAATTTAGCAAGCTTACTAAAAACCTTTCAAGTATACACTTAAAATGGTATGTTATAAAGATAGATGAATTATACCTTGGTGAAGTTTTTTTTTTTTTTTAATTTGGTACTGGGGATCAAACTCAGGACCTTGTGGTTGTGAGGCAGGTACAATGCTACTGAGCTAAATCGCCAGTCCCCCTTGGTAAATTTTTAAAAAATCATCAGAAAAGCTGATGAGCATGGAGTTCAGGATTTTTTTAGACCAAATTATGTTTGTTGCTTTTCTAGACCAATCTTTCAAAAACCTCTGTATGTCAGTGGCTGCATGTGGGGTCTGCACAGCTTCCCAGGACGTCCCCCTGCCAGAGCAGTAATGACTGTGGTGGTTGTCTTTCAGGAAAAACATGCAGAGGAACAAACAGGTAGCCATGGGCAGAAAGAAATTTAACATGGACCCTAAAAAGGTAAGCAGAAAGGAAATGGCAGACACCCGTAGGTTTTAAGATGGGGGTTTTCTGGTGTACAGATGAAAACCAGAGGTGTCTCTCCCAAGCTGCTGTTTCCTGGAGGGAATGTCATGTGGCATAGCCTGGTTGAATCAGGGGCCCTGGCTTCTGACCATGACACCCCGACCCTTTATATCCACTGGTGAATGTTTACCAGATACTTACGCTGTGTCCAGTGCACCCACGTGGTTGCTGCCCCTGCCCTTCCTTCCTCTTTCCAGCTGCTTCAGGCTGGCGTTATTGGCTTTTGTGATCTTTCTCCAGGGCATCCAGTTCTTGATAGAGAATGACCTGCTGAAAAACACCTGTGAAGACATTGCCCAGTTCCTCTACAAGGGAGAAGGGCTCAACAAAACAGCCATCGGTGACTACCTAGGGGAGAGGTGAGGTCTTGATGAACAAGCTCCTAAACACCCCACATTCTAGAGGAGATCGTTGTCTGTGCTGGCATTGGGTGGCAGTCTTCTGGAGAGCAGTGGCTGGTCTGTCTGGGGGTGGGGGCACCTTTAATATTTAGTCAGTAAACACAGCAAGCTGGACACCCTCCTGATTGTGGGTGACTGTGCCCAGAGGCCTGGCAGTGCTGGGTGGGACTCAGTTCAGGGACCCCACCTGGCATGGGTTAGGTTCTTGGCATCAGTGTCTGACTTCTGCTTCCTCTTCTCTCCTGTTCCTGACAGAGATGAGTTTAACATCCAGGTCCTGCATGCATTTGTGGAGCTGCATGAGTTCACGGACCTGAACCTCGTCCAGGCCCTGAGGTATGTCTCAGGGCTCCTTGGGGAGAGGCAGGCCTGGCCCTGTGTCCATCCCTTGCACCATTTGACTGAAGCTGCATCTGGGGGATGATTGTGAATGTCTCAGATATTCTGTGTGTGGTACCGGGGATTGAACTCAGGACCTTGCACTTTCCGGGCAGGCACAGTGCCACTGAGCTACGTCCCTAGCCTGTCTCAGATCTTCTGAAGGGAGGCAGTGTACTGGCCTATAAGTGAAAGGCTGGATGTTCAAGAGGCTAAATTGTGCTGCACCCTGCAGGCAGATGCTGTGAAGTCTTCCTCCAGGCTTTCACTTAGGTTTAGGAAACTAATGAATACTTACATTTTGGAATCTTTTCTACTCTTCAATTTTTAAACCCCTTAATTTCTTACCCTGGAATAGGTAGTTGTGTATTTTATTTCATTTTTGAAAGGAAAACTAAACTTTAATTTATACTAAATCTTCATTGGTGCCTTTTGAGAAGTTGTCCTCCCATGTTTTCACTGCTGTAGGTGTGAATAACAGGGTTGCCTTTTGTGCTGTCATTTAGATGAATGCAGAAAAAGCAGGATTAGACCCGCTGGCCATGGATCTTCTCTGACTTGCAGGGTCAGTTGTGCCTGCTTTGCCTGCCACCCTGCATCGTGGAAGGTGTAAAATGAGCATTTTTCTGTATTTCAGTCATGATTATTATCCTGGGGAGATTATTTATTTGAAATACCAAAATCTTAATTTCTCACTTTTTGTAAGCACTTTCCCTTCAGTTAAAGTAGTGATGAGGTAGCCTGGTATGCATCTATCTGCTCAGCGTTGCTGTAACAGAAGACTGAGGCCCAGCGGGTCTCCCTGTACCCTCTGATACTGAGAATCATTGACTCACAGATAAACTGTTTCCACAAGTCCTGAACCCAGCTGTCCTCTCTCTCAGGCAGTTCCTGTGGAGCTTCCGGCTCCCTGGGGAGGCGCAGAAGATCGACCGGATGATGGAGGCCTTCGCCCAGAGGTACTGCCAGTGCAACAGTGGGGTGTTCCAGTCCACAGGTGAGTGAGGCACCCTCTCGGCCCAGCACAGGCGGGCTCTTCCCACCTGGTCCTTTCTTGGCTTTGGATACTTTCTAAAATGAAAGGACTGAAATTCACGCATAGGAACATTTATTTAATATTATTTATAATAGTAAGAGGTTGGAAGCAATCCAAAGTTCAACATTAAGACACTAAGAGTATAAATGGTGGTTTCTCAACCATGACATATATAAGGATTAAAAGTCACATTTTTAGAAGCTGGACGTGGGGGCACATATGCCTATAATTGCAGATACACAGGAGGCTGAGGAAGGCCAACCTGGATAACACAGAGTAATTTTTTTTTAGTGATGTTTTAGGCTGGGCCTGGTGCTGCACACCTGTAATCCCAGCACTCCAGAGGATCACTGCGAGTTAAGGCCAGCCTGAGCTACCTACTGAATTCAAGGCCAGCCTGAACTACACAGTGAGACCCTGTCTCAACCTCCCTCTAAAATGACGTTTTTATATAGAATTTTTATTGGCATGGCAAAATGGCAAAATTAGCAAACAAGTATATGTGTATATGCAGATATTCCTCATTTCATGACCTTGTTTAACAGCTGTTTGGACTTGCAACCCATTTTTTTTCTTTGCATGGTTCTGTACATCTTGTTATAGAACTTCAATATCTTTTTACAGTATATCCTTTAAAAAGTATACTCTGTTTCCACAGTACTGTAATTTTGCTGATTGTACTGTACAGTACAGTGCGATAGTTTTGTGTTCTGTGTACAGTACTGCATGAAGAATCATGCAAATAAAAGCAAGGTGATCACATTGGAGCTCCCTTTGATGACTACTTCGTTCTGGCCATTGGAAAGTCTGTAGTGTGTACAGTTTCTCATTCAGCGACCAGTTCACTCCACCTAGTCGCAGGAACTGAACTTAGTTGCTAAATGAGGAGCGTCTGTATGTCCACTCGTATATATCAATATCTGTTTGACTCAAGTTATGTATCTGTGAGGTAGCATTTGTGATATATTACATAAAGGAGTATTTATATAAAGGAAATGAAACAAAATAACTTACTACCCAATAGTGAGATTATGGGTATTTGTACATAGTTTTTTACACTTTGTGTTGTTTTCCAATTTCCTGCAGTGGACATGTTGCTTGGTCCACATGCTTTTGTGTGCCCTGCCCTTTGCAGATAGCGCATGCCTGGGAGCAGTGTCCATTCACAGAGCCTGTCCCTTTCTTCTGGGAGTGCAACTTTATGACTCCAGGAGGCCCTCTCTGATCACCCTCTGCCTTTCTCCCATCTCCAGACACTTGCTATGTCCTCTCCTTTGCCATCATCATGTTGAACACCAGCCTGCACAACCCCAACGTCAAAGACAAGCCCACCGTGGAGCGATTCATCGCTATGAATCGTGGCATCAATGATGGGGGCGACCTGCCCGAGGAGCTGCTCCGGGTAAGCAGGGCCAGAGTGGATTCCTCTCCACAAAGGAAGATCATTTTTGTAGGAAAGTAGAAAGATGTGTAACTTGTTGAGTGCCTACTCCCTTACCTCACTTCATTATGTGAGTTTCACATAAGAAGTTGGCAGTGAGGCCCAGCAAGGAAGGGGAAGTGTTTATAAATCTGAAACTAAGGGCTTGGGCATAAGTCAGACTGCTTTTGTTCCTTTCTTAATTATCCAGTAGGCATCTTACTTTATCCCTGTGAGGTACCAGAAAGTAGACAATCATCTTCTTCCTCTAATCTTGACCCTCATGGGGCTCATGGTTTACTGCAGGGACAGTATGAATGTGAGTGGAGAGAGAGGGAGGAGAAAAGTTACTTCTGGAATCAGAGCCATGCAACGTTGTCTTTTACCCCAGAATTTATATGAGAGCATAAAAAATGAGCCCTTTAAGATCCCAGAAGATGACGGGAACGATCTCACTCACACTTTCTTCAATCCAGACCGAGAAGGCTGGCTACTGAAACTGGGTAAGTCACGCCCTGGGTTGAGTGCCACAGGAAAACTCAGGGAGGAGGCAGTGTGTGTACCACCCCCATGGTGCGCAAAAGGGGCGGGGCACAGGCCTTGGAGAGATTCTGTTCCAACAAAGGTCCGCCTCTGAAAGGAAGTGATCTGCACAGCCAGCCCCCTGTGTGTCTGTTCTTGAATCCATGGCCAGTTTCTTTCAAGCAGTTCCCCTAAGGACCTGGTCCCATGCCCTTCCCTGACCCCTTGACTTTGGGCAGGTGGCCAGCCATGTCCATCTTCCTACTCCTCATCCTGGTTTTGTACCTGGCACTCCTGCCCCACTCCGTACATCATCACCTCCTTCTGCATCTGGCTCCCACAGGCAGTCTGCATGGCAAACCTAGAGCCCTTGGCTGCAGCTCAATCCACAACACTCTTACTCATTCTCCGGGCAGTGGTTCCCACCCTTTCCAATCTGAATCAGCCACATTAATGATTTTGTTCATTCAGAAAAAATTAAGAGTGTATTCCTCTTCCTCTGCCGAACGTGAGTTTGTATTGCCTAGATTTGTGGTCCTGGCTTACCATGGATGTGACTGAGTAACCAGACAAACAAAATTAGTAGGTTTTTCATGCACATTCCTGTCCGCATATGATTACTGTTGCAGCACACAGAGAGATCTCTGCACTCTGGGGGCATAATGGTACCCATTTTTTTGGCCACTAGAGAGCATTTTCCCATGTCTTCTGCCTTTGTCTTTGATGAGCTGGAGCCCTGCATGAACAGGAGGTGTCCTTTTAGAGACCCTCCTTTCCCATCTCGGTTACTTGCCCACTGTTACCGGTCATGACCTTCTCGGCCATGACTGAAGCATCTAGAAAGGCCAGGGCAGACTCTTTTACTGCTGACTCGTGGTGATGGAAGTAAGATTTGCATTTCCTTGTGTTCATACATAATGACTTCATTCATAAATTCCCCTTAAAGCACCACTCACTGATCTCACCTTACATACCTTTGAAATCAGCCAATGCTTCACAGATCTTTAAGCCAGTACAATCTCTGAAGTTAAGGCTCTAAAATTACTAACCTCACTGGCAACCTTCTGTTCCGCATTCTCGTTTCCAAGCGGATAGAGTTAAAATGTACAAAATTTTAGAAATGTGTCTAAGTTTGGATTTACTTCCTCCTCCAGCAAAATTTGTTTAAATGCTAATGCTAAGTGTTAGCTCTGACAGCTTGAATCCTAAAATTAGAACAGGCAAAGATTATCTTGGTTCTTGCACCAGGATGACATGCAAATTCATGAGACATCCCAAATTTTTAAAAATTAAAAACTTAAGCCAGGAGCAATGGTGTGCTCCTATTGTTCAGCTGCTTGGGAAGCTGAGGAGACAGGAGGATCCTTTGAGCCCAGGAATTTAAGGCCAGCCTGGGCAACATAGGACCTATCTAAAAAATAATATATTTTTTAAAACTAAATGTGGGGCTCATTTTTGGGTCATTGCATTACTTTTTCTAAACCTTCACCATGCCCTTCACCAAACTCTTTGATACTGTTTTGCATTGTAGCACACTTGGAGTCACTCCTGTGTGTTCGTGTGCTGCGGAAGGCAGGACTTCAGCCATCTGTACTCTGTGTGTGTGTTTGTTTATGCATACAGCCACTAGCATGTATGTTTCTATGTATACACATACGTACTTGTATAGTCATGGGTATATGTGTGTGCATTCTTGCACACACTCTAAAAGTGACAGCCATCTAAATAAAGTCAGTAAAATTTCCCTGAAGTAATCTCTACCCTCTTTGCTGTGGATTCTGGACAAACAAACCTCAGCCTTATAAAAGCATTTATGGCACCACTGGGGCCAGGGTTCAGAGTGCCTACCATTTCACCTGTACCTGATGGGAGGAGGCCACTGTCCCCTGCCAGCTCTCTCACAGGCAGACATGAATGTGACTGATACATTGCACTTTAAGATGAAGGAATCGGCTTTAATTTCTTTGTTTTAATTTTCTTTTCTCCCTCATTTGTATGTTTCCATGATTTTGGCTCTCCTTTTCCTTGCCCCAAACTCCAGGAGGTATGTAACCCTGCAACCTGCTCGCTCGCTCTGCCCAGGCCACTGTCATTGCTGCAGTGTTTTCTTCTTTTGTTATTTTTGGTTATTTTGTTTTTTAATTGCTGGTGGTAGTGTTAACGCTGCTTCTAACTTACTGTACAGTCCCTAGGGAACTGGTCAGGATCAAGGACTTGGAGCAATGTCATGTTCTCCCTTCCTGGAGGAGAACATAGTGGAGCAGACAGCTAGGTGCCCAGACGCAGATTCACCTCACTGCACAGGCCTTGCGGGCACACAGCCCAGGGCGGGTCTGTAAGGCAGAGGGGGACCTAATGCATTCTCTTGGGAGGAGCAGCCAGGCACGTGCTGTTGGTTGAATTCAAATTGACATCCACAATCGATGTTATGAAAGGTAGTTTCTGAAGGGAGGAGAAAGAAGAGAATGAAACCCTGACTTCTCAAAGCCAGGAGCCTCTGACACCATGATTGATAATCAATTAAGAAAAGCTGAAGTGGCATTTAGAGCATTTGTCTTTGTATGAAAAACGATGTCAAGTGAAATTTAAAGAACCTTGAAACTCAAAACTCTACCTGCAGTGTTTTGATGAAGTTGCCTGAGTGTCAGGGCAGGGCCTTATAGCCTCAGCTTTAGAGTTTATGTTTTCTTTAGTTTTTTACTCCCCTTTTTTCCCAGTGAGTCTTTTCTTTACAATCTGAAATTGGCCTCTTAGTTATACTGTCGGTGTCTACTCTCTGTTTGCTGACTTGGGGGAGCCAGAGAACTCCTCGGGTTTGTGCCTAGGCATGCCATGATTAGAGATGGACCTGAAAAGAACCACCCTAAACACTGGCATTTACTCAGATGTTTTGGGGACTTGCCAGGTTGTTTTCAACTGCTGGGAAGACAGCTTTTGGATCTCATATCTAAAGGGATCATGGGCAGGCATGAAAAGCCAGCAGTGGGAGGAGTCCTGTCAGTTCCACAGGGACTGTCCTAGATGCACAGCTATCTGTTTGCTTGTTCCATGTCTGTTTTTCTCCCCGTGTGGAAATGTTTCCCATGGGCTCGCAGCAGTGCTTCACGTGGAGAGCTCTGTGACACAGCAAATTGTCCAGGGGAGGTGACCAAGCGTTTATAAATCAGAGCTTTTCCCAGCTTTGCTTTTTCTCCTTGATTTCCTTCCCTCTAGCTCTTTATGGCATCTGACCCACTTTTTCCATGATCTCCTAGGTCCCAGTGTCACCTGGGGTAGCGTCCTATGGTGGGCATGGGAGGTCAGCATGGGTTGGTGGCCATGGTGTGCCCAGACCTTCAGGGGGAACCATCTGCCTGCAGGGCTGGAAGACCTAAGCTCTCAGGCTGTAGTGGGGGAGGGAGTTCCTTTTTAAGAACATACTGGCTCCAATTCCGAACACATCCCCTGCCTTTTTTCTCCTCCTTATTCATTTTAATTCTGCCTAGCCTTTCCTGTTATCCACATGCATGTTCTTATCATTTATGTTTTTTTCTTAACTCATGTCACTTAACCTTTGGACTGCTTACATAAAACTTACAAATCACAGTGAGGGAGAGTGTCCCTGCTCGACACCTGCACAGGATGGGCAGCAGGCAGTGTGCACTTACTTAGGCTCGTGCCCTGGAAGCCTAGGTCTGTCCTCTAGAGCCCTTCAGTCAGTGCTCACTCACCCTGGGGTTCAGGCCCTGGAGCAGCACTGTCAAGTGGAGCAGAAATCCAGTGCTGCCTCTACCGGATGTCCTTCCCGTGACATTGCTCGCATACTCCTGTGTTTCTCGGGGTGAGCCTTCAGGTCCTGGCATTTGGAAATAGTCCCTGTGAAACCACTCTGTTCTTTGCTGGGCTGTTGGTGAGGGGGTGAGAGGGGCATGGATGGGGCCCTCCACGACTCACACTCCAGGGGGAGAAGAGAAGGTGGTGTTCTCTGTAGGTGAGGTCTGTGCAGAAGGGCAAGTGCTAGAAAGAGCAGGGTGCAGTGTTTGTGGGATGCCATGTGTGTCTTAGGAAGGAATACGGATAATTTCAGGTGGTTCTTGTCAAGAAAGTTTCCTCTTGACCTGAGGTAAGTGGAGAAGGAGAAGAGCTCCTGGTCATGATTTGAGAGGAGGCGTGGCTGTATCCAAATTGGGCATAGTTAGTGTCCAGATTAGCTTAATGTCATGACTCCCACATTTTGCTTATTGAAGAATGTTAAAAAGGACCAAGGGAAGCCATCACTAGGTCTTAGACACCAGTCAGTGCTCATCTGGCCCATGACTACCTCTTCTAGCTATTTTTGTTGTAAATGTGGGATTGCAGAGCTCCTGAACCGATTTCTCCACACAAGCCACCTCTTTCCTGAGGGAGGAAACCTGCTTTGATTCTCACCAAGGCTTTGGGAAAATTTTATTTTCAGGAGACTAGCTTAGAGGGCTAAGGCCAGGGTAGAAATTTACTACAGCCAGGAAGGTAGGGTAAGAGCTAAAGCTGCAGCAGTTTGGTTCCATGCTCTAGGGAAGCTGGATGTATTGTGAAGAGGAACAGCCCTGTTCCTGCCCTCTAGTCATTTCCATGGCACCTCCGTAGGCACCAGGTGATTGTCAGGAGCAGCGTAGCCTGCACCAAGGTGCTGACCCTTACCCCTGCCTCTTTTCTTTTCCCATTTCTGCCACACATAGCTTTGGTCGGCCTCCATAGCCCAAGGCACATATGTGTTGCCTGTCATTATCGCCCCAGATTTCCTCCCCACCCACGTGCTCATTTTGCTGTCCAATTTCATCTGGGGGTGTCACCTGGACGCGCTTGCTCTGCTCGTACCATAGACTTCACTCTGAAAGATGCTTCTGTCTTGGCTGTGTCTTGTCATTGATGCGAACTTTGCCATGGTCTGAATGTTCTCCAACACCCTCCCTGTCCCTTCTCCCCTCCCCGAGAGAGAGCTGTGTGTGTGTGGTGGAGCCTGTGCTTGCCTGGGTGTCTGTTGTCCAAGTGCATCTCTTTTTGCACTGCAGGTGGCAGGGTAAAGACCTGGAAGAGACGCTGGTTCATTCTGACCGACAACTGCCTTTACTACTTTGAATACACCACGGTGAGCACCAGCGCTGAAGTGGGATGGGCCAGGGCTTTGTTTCTAAACTGCTCCAACCACACATGGCTAGAGGGATTGTGGGGGAGATTGGATTTGTCCCTCTGCCTCTTTGGGCGTCTGTCAGGGCAGAATTGAAGCAAGTGGGAGAACTCAGGTTGTCTCCGAATGAGAGCCCCAGGGAGGGTGTGGAGCACCCAGCACATTTGTCCCTCTGCCTCTTTGGGCGTCTGTCAGGGCAGAATTGAAGCAAGTGGGAGAACTCAGGTTAAGTCTCCGAATGAGAGCCCCAGGGAGGGTGTGGAGCACCCAGCACGGAGCCAGGGCTCACTGACAGAGCCTAGTTCCAGGTGGGGCGGGGAGTCACAGGCCTAAGACAGTGCCAGGAGCCAGTTCAGAGCTAGGCTAGCAAACATGGACTTGGGTCCATTACCAACAAGTGTTTGTGGGCTTACTGAAAGGGACGTGAAAGAGAAAAAGAAAATAATTGTGGTTTGGAGATTTCACATTTTTTAGAGTAGTAGAAATATTGAAGGATTTAATTCAGATGGAGCAACTTAAGGCTAAAATATATAATAGAGGGAAAGGAAATTAAACGAAATGGGAAAAATTAAGATTACCTGGAGTTTTAAGTAATTGAAATTTTCTCAAACTGTGGTAGTTTTCTTGGTTTTTAGTCGGCACCAAAAGACTTAAGTCAATGTCACATATGCATCCCTTTTTACAGCAATAGCCTATGAGAATAATAATTAGAAATAAAAGGGCCAGATATTTAGCTCAGTGGTGCCATACCTGCCTGGCAACTATAAGGTCCTGAGTTCGATTCCTGGTACTGAGGGGAAAAAAAGAAATAAAACTTTTCAGGGGTCCTTATGAGCAGAGTACCCAGAAAACGCAGCCGGTTTGTAGTTGGTTCCCAGACTGTCATGTGCAGGTGATCTGATGCTTTTCGGTTTCTGCCACCCTCTTGGTCACAGAATTGTGCAATGGTTGTACTGCCAGCAGTGTTGGACTTGGGTCTCTACACTAACCAAGGCATTGAGTGGGAGTGCTCAACTTTTTCTCCAACCAGATCTTCACTGAGCTAGAGGTCATCTGTCCCACTGAGGAAGTTAAAGATTTAGATTTCTCTTTTGTAATAAATGTAGAATTAAAGGGTGCCTGAGTAAAATATAAGAACGCTAGCCCTGCTGTGGGCTACTGGAAGTGTCTCGGAGTCAGGGCTCTGTGGAGGTCACAGGAACACGGCCCCTCCAGGGAAGGAGCTGCCTGACAGTGTCAGGTTGCTCTTCACAGCCTCTCATCCTCATGGTGACAGGGAATGATTCTAAGGGCATTTCTGACCAGAATTTTGTGTGTCGAAGGGGTACAGTCATGCCATGGAAGCTCTGCAACTGTCTCTGCTTTTCTATATTTAAGATATTTTCAAATATTAGAGCAATAGTCTTCAAATGGATAGGATAATAAAGATGTTTCCTGTTGCACGGCCAAGGCACTGCTGTTAACAGACAGCTTGGTAATTAGTCCATCTAGTCACCCTTCTTATCTTGCCTGGAGTCTGCTCTCTGCTCTCTGGTTTGGGCATGGAGGCAGTGTGCTTCTGTCTGTCTCCTGGCCGACCCTTGTGACGCCGAGCAGTTTGGGTTGGGTCTGTTGGGCATAGAGCTGTGTGGTGGTACGGCCTCCACGCAGCACAGCAGCATCTGCTCAGACCCTTGTCAGGCAGTGGGGCAGAGACTGAAAGGTGTCATCAGGCCAAAGACAACTGATTGAAACTTACACACAAAATCAGCTAGTGATACGTGGGGAAAAGTAGGGACCAGACAAGGAAAGGACCCGGCTGGGTCAGTGGGAAGACAGCAACAGCTTGGAGAATGAATTGCTGAGGGGTCTGGAGCTTTGGCTGGAGGATGAGAGCCAGGGGAAGCAAGCTGCTGGAACTTGTGGTTGTTCCCTCTCTGATCCAGTGAAACAGGAAGTAAACAGCCTCCGTTAGTGTTTGGAGGCAAAGGCACAAGACTGTGTGTGCAACTGGGAACCTACCACACAGGGTCTTCCAATAGGTGGAGCCAATACTACCTGCACGTCCACTGTCCAGAGGAGAGCGCTCAGGGAGCCTCAGATGAGCCCGCCCGCCACTCGCCATTCTCTGTGATATTACAGAAAGTGCTAGAATGCCACAGGTCAGGCGCAAGCTTCCACCACGGGGAGCAATGCCTCCATCAGACACCCAGTGGGAGAGAATCCTGAGATCACTGGAGCAATTTGGAAGGGCAGAACAGGGAGGCTTCAGACTTCAAACATGGGACAGCCAGACCTATCCATTTTAATACAACTGTGCAGCTGTAGAATTGCAGCTTATTAGTTTACCAACGGTTAGAGTAAGACTTTAAAGAGTGGAGCACATTAGCTGAAAATACTATCACTCTCCTAAGGGGAAGCCTTTAGCTAGAGATTATATTTGAAAAAGATAAATCTTTAAAAATTAAAATAAAGCTATCTGATGTGGAAGATGAGACAGTCCTCATTTAATGACCCAGCTCCAGTCCCTCAACTAGGTTGTAGCTGAATCAGTCACTAAATGAGGAACTGTATAGAGTATGTACATTATAGTATTCAGAGCAAAGAAGAGGTCAAAGCAGAGTACGACTTAATGACTTTGCTTTTATTTGCATAGCTCTTAACATGCAGTACTGTAATTCATAATAACAGAAAAGTATAGTACTGCACTGTATAATCAGCAAAAAATATCATAACTGCTCAACAGAAGGCCACGTCATAAGTCCCAATGTTGTTAACTGGGTAGGTCATTAAGTGAGGAGTATCTGTACCAAAATAATTGACACCTGCAAAATCAAAGATACGATGAGTGAGTGAGATTACGTCTCTGAAAAGGAGAGAAACCCAAAAATCCAGCAGTCCTGCATCTTCAAGTCAAGAGTGCACTGTGCTCCAGGAAACATCCTCCTGCTCAGTAGCTGAAAGAGCAGAGCCTCTCGGCAGTCTTCACTGCCTGGGGGATAGTGGGTCGGGGTCTGCCCGGACCACAGTGAAGAATGACTGAGAACCCTATGCCTAGCCACGTTAGCCATTAAGAAAACAGAGCTCAGCCAGCAGCATTATCAGGTAGAAGAAAACAAGGGAAATGCACACTGCTGACTCTTCTTGAGAAACACTGCTTGTCAGTGAAAAGCCATGCGGGAAGAGAGTGATCAAAGGAAGTCGCAGAGTGGTGGCCAGCACTTAGCTCGTTCATTCCCTTAAGTATAGGACAGATGCCATGGTGGCCTCAGGGCAGAGCCGGAGCCAAATGTCCTGACATTCGGGTGCTTGCTAGTACTGTAGGTGGTGAGATAAGAGCTAACACCAAAATATTCCAAAATACACTTAAGTACAAGATTAATGCTCAGATATACTTAATAGAACTGACATGAACTATACTCACCTATGCAACTGATACTCAAATATAAAAACTAGCACCAAAATATACTTCATTAAAACTGATGCCAAAATATACTAAAATGTAGAACTAATTCAATTACTATTGCCTCAAACATCAATAATTTAATTATCCAAGGAAATAAAATTTATAGCTGGATTTTAATACATAAGCTCCAAAACTAATAGATAATGTAAAAAGCTATTGTATTTTAAATTAACCTTTTATTCCAAAATTAAACCATCAAATGAGTTAACACAGAATGACAAAAATTATGGTAGGTTTATGATGTAATCCCACTGCGTGCCTTAATGCAGCAGATACAGTGGTATTTCCTTTGGACAAAAAGGTAACTTCATTGTTTGTCAGTGGCCCTTTGAAGAACCAGTGTAACTAAATATCAGGAGAAACAGCCACCTATTCATTCAGGTGGCTCAGTATGGAGGCTTGGCACTGTGTCTGTTATCTGAAGGGTAGTTTTAGTTTCCTTTTGTAGTTACGTGTAGAGGGGATAGTTGGTTCTTGTAGTCTACAGCAGAAGATCATGGAATTCTCTGTGAGCATCAAATATGCAGTGGTTAATTGCATCCAGGCTAGTAACAAGTTCATCTGTGCACTAAATGACAACACAAGCAAAGTGCGGAGCTGAATCGTGAGGATCAGACACGTTGTGCTGCAGATATCAGCAGAGGATCCAAATAGTTAAAACCTTTAAATTCAGACTGATCGGTCTTCTCACAGCATTGTCATCATCTGGAGTAAGCTGCACAGGGTCAGCAGTGAATTGAGAATCAGGTGACCAAACCAGATTCTCCAGAAGTACTTGGTTTCACTGGAAGTACCACCTGCTTTTGCCCCATCGTATCCCAGCCAACATTTTGAAAGAATGGATGCCCCCGAATACCAGCAAATCCTGTTAGAGGGTGCCAGCCCGATCATTCCCTTGGATCCTTGTTGAAAAACTCTTCAGGACACTGGAGCTTTTACAGACTGAGAACCCTGTATGTGAATCTGGTTTTCCAAAATAACTTGAAAGAGATTATAGCTCCTACCAACATCAAATGGATGTTTATGTACTCTATAACAAAAAAGTCTACTTTCTGTCTGAAAGCAAGAATTGAGACCAACCAGAAAAGGATGATTAATTAGCTGCCTCCAAAATATGCTTCTCTCCCTGCACCCAGTCAGTACCCTCATCATCACCGACAAGTTCTTTTTTCACAACTTTCATTGCATAAAAACAATCTTTTTTTTTTTTTTTAATCTAACCAACGGTACTTTCATATAATTTCCTCTCTGTGTTGCCTGGAGTAAATTGAAGTCCTGAAGAGAGCTAAACTTGATGAAGCTTTGCCACTTTCTCTGGTGTTCACTGCCTCCCTCTCTTTACCGACTTAGTCCCAGCTCTCATGAGTTGAACGATTATGTGGAATTACTTACTGTCTTTGCATAGGTGACTGACCCATTGGTGTCATGAGTTCAGGTGGCAAAGCCTGTCACCCACATTCAATCGTGACAAGTTTGTGGCACTCATGAGCCAAGAGTTTACAGTTGACACACTTGT